TGCCTTCAGCAGGCAGATCCCACACGCTGATGCGCCTGCCTCCCGCTGCCCCGGGCCTTTCGGCTAACCGGCCCCCCGGCGCCCCTAAGGCGGCTTGAAAGGACACCCTCCCAGCGCAGCTTTCCCCAAAGGCGGCAGCTGGGATAGAAAAATATTTTTAGTGACTTTTTCCTTGGCTCTGAATAAGCCTTTCTTTTTCTTCCCTCCCACCCCCCCCCTCAAAGTTTGGGAACTACAAATGCAAATATTTATGCAAAAGAAAAACTATAATACTAAAAGCACATCCAACTGACATTACGGGCAGCGCAGCATTACAGCTGGGTACAGTTAACACTGAGGTCTGAAAAAACCCTACACCTCAAACCTAGCCTTCAAACCACCAAAGATTAGAGAGTTGTTTTTAGAAGCAGTTTGGGTTTTAAACTTCAAGGATTGCATTTCAGACTTTCAATAGCTTCGCTTCAATCACGGATTTAATCAGGTGAGCAGAGCTGGTTAACAGCCTGCTGCAGCATAAACATACGCTCTTTCAGGCGCACGCGGTAGCAAGGACGGAGACGAGTTTCTCTATTCAAGCTTCCCATTTTCAAACCAGAAATACCTAGAAGATACCAGGGTATGTCTGGGGTTTTTTTTCAGATGAAGCTTTTCAGTCCCTGGCTCAGCCCAGGAGAAAGTTTCTAGCATGAGATGTTTCTAGATGATCTGGTCATAACAAGGAAAAAAAAAAAATGTGCAGAGATACTTCTAGTGGTCAAAGCTTTTCATTTAAGTACCTGAAAACACAACTTCATTGTTCTTCAAAGGGAAATATGTTGTTTGCTTAGGGGAAAACCATCCGTGTGTGATAAGGAGTTACAGTGGAACTGATCTATGCACAACCGAGTGGGCAGAACGAGACTACGACTTACCCAAATCACATATGGGAAAGGGGAGAAGGCAAGGGAGGCAGAGAAAACAGGAGTGGGAAGGAAGGCTGTGAGCAATCACAAGTTTAAGAAAACAAAGGAAAAAAAGAGCTGCTTAACAAGCTACACGAAGCAGAACATGTTACGAACGTGTCCTCTCTCACACTGCTTGGAACTGGGCCCCCAAAATGCGCCCCGGTTCACTGGTTGGCAGTCGAGTCACCCGATTCACACTCACGTCGAGCACCGGCCACTCTCCACCCAAGGTAGGTGCAGAGAGCTCTGCCTCCTCCCTTGCCCAAACTCAGCCTTTGCTTTCTTAAACATCAACATATTAAACATCCCCTCTCCTGGGGTTTGCACTCTCCCCTGTTTAACCCTCACCCCAAGCTCTCCCACCCTCTCCTCTGCCTGTATGGTTGCCTACTGTGACTACTCCATGCAATCTACTTTAGCCCGACTTTAAGGGTTGATTGAAGGTTTGTAACATCCTTAGCAGTGGCTTTCTGAACTGAGGGGGGGAAAAATGCAGCAATACAGATGCACATCGTAGCGATCCATTCCCTACGGTTTGGGGCTCGGCCTACGCCCTAGAGCCACGCGCATCCAGTTATGGGCCTGAAGAGAGGGGAATCCACGCAGTAAAGGGCTTTTGGCGACGAGCTAAAGCTCGCCGAGCTACCGAAGTTGGCCTCCACACACATTTTCTCTAAAGCCTGGAAAGCAGTTATCAGCTACCCCGGTCCTGCGTGCTCAACCGTTTTAGCCCAAATTGCTGTTTGAGGTGGTTGGCGGCGCGAGACCCAGCTGCCCAGAGGCAACAGGGTACGTGTCCCTTCCTGCCAGCCCTGCTGCAGGGAGCCAGGAGGGCTGAGAGGAGGCAGCCGGCAGCGGGGGCACGCTGCAAGCAACCGCCGCGGGGCCGGCTTACGCTGCCACAACACGATTTGCAAGGATTGTTTGCTAGAGACCTTTAAAATCTCTGAGTTTAGGGAGCTGCTTTGGGAGCTCCTATAGGCTCGTTGTGGGTTTAGCAGAATTGTCTTTTTTTTTCGTTTCCTTGAATGTACCAATTCAGAACACTAGCTTGGCATTTACAAGACACTGCATACAATCACACTCCAAACTATTTTGTCTAAAACAGAGATTTTAAAAAAAAACCAAACCCCTAGTTCTGCACTTAAAAATAACTTCCAGGACAGCGCAGTTAAAACAGCGCAGTTAAGACAGCTTGTTTCTGTGGCTTGTTTGCACTGAACATTGTCTGCCTTCACCAGAACACAGGTCTGACTTTCTGCAAGCACAGATGTTTCTCTTAAGGCTGGACACTGGCATGTGAGTTGCTGAAAGGGGAGAGAGAAGAGCCTGACCCTAATGGTCCTCCTCCTACAGATACTTATGCACCCACCTTAGATTTCCTATAACCTCTCCCACGTTAAGTGCTGGCAAAGAATATATAAATATTTACCAAGGTCAATCCATCTGAGAACACCCTTGCTGCTCCCGAGGTGCCAGCTTACCAAATTCCACATGGTAATTAATTGCTTCTGTGGTCCAAAATAGCTTTGACAGAGGTCTCCAAGGCCAGCCCCTTCTTCTTGGTGTTTGACTTTGGTGATTTGTCCGGATAAAGCTGGTGTAAACTGATCACACACTTAATAACAGCCCACTTCACATGAAAGCCATCTGCTTGGGTGGGAAGAAAGGGAGATGTTGGGCTAACGTGGACCTGCGTGTGAAGGCACATACAGAGACACCGTCCATGCTGCTCCGGTCTGCATGCGAGCTCTCTACTAAAGGGAAGATTGGCTGCGAGATAACGATGTTTATTAACAAGACCCTTGCCACCGCGAAAGCATTTGGCCTTATTTGCCTTCAGTGTTTGTGCGTGCTGCCCTTTGCGGTATTTAGTTCCCGCATACGCGGGGAAATCTGCCTGGTGCCATGCATGTCTGCTGGAAGGAAAGGCCACTTGGAGGGCCCCTCCGCTGCTCAGGGAGCACCTCACATCAGCCCCGGAGGCCCCGGAGTGGCTAAAGAGAAGGACCCAAAAAGGGGCGTTGCATGAGTTTCACTCAGAGCTGCCAGTGGAGCCTGAAGTCAGACACTGAAACGCAACTCCCTCTGTAAGGACGGGCTGATGGGAGGGGACATGCCTGAAGGCTGACTCGCAGAAGAGGAGGCTTATCGCCACTGGACAAGGAGACAGTCCCATATGGAAAACATAACTCACAGAGAAGCTGGCCATACGGCAGCAAAGCCCTTAGGTTCGAGGGTGACAGTCTGCTACGCTGAAGAGAGTCCCCAGGTTAACTAGAGGGTCAGCCTGGAGTCTGAGAGCGCGAGCTAAACGCACCGCAAGACACAGCTGAGTGAGGGCCTCCAGATTTTGCAGACAACAGCAGAGGATCACCTGCACGCTCCTCCCACCCACCTCGTTCCTCCATGTTCTGGGCCAGAGCTGGCATATGATTTTCTGTCTCAACAGACAAAAATACTTCCTTTTCTTCCTGTTCATCCTCCTTCTGCAGAAGAACAGAACTTGGCTCCAAGAATGCATTGACGCAGGACTCTATGTCAAAGCAGTTTATAACCATGGGGGTTACTCAGTTCTGCTTTATATAAGCCAGTCATAATTATGTGTTTATAATACAGGGAAATGAGCATTCTTGGCGAAAAAATACAGACCATTGAGATTATTATGCCACAGCCATAACCTTAGCATCTGAGCACTTGGTACTGACTGCAGGACAACAACTGCACATCAAAGGGAGCACAGTGGGGTCCCAATGCCGCACGTACCAGCATGCCTTCACATAACCCTCCAGCTCACCAGATCCAGTACCAGCCCAGCAGCACACTTCACATGCTCTGAACTGCAGGACTTGAAATGCTTTCCATATTTAGATAGTAAATGGGGCTTTTTTAAACATACTGCCCCAACCCGACTCACAGCATCTTTTGGGAAAGGGGTTAATTTTTGGATTGAAGAGAGAAAACCCTATGTATTCACTAACATAGAGAAAGGAAGGTCCAATCTGCAAAAAAACATCATCACCAGCCAGCTGCCTTGCTCTCCAGGAGAGAAACTGCCCTCAAGCCCTGACAGGCAGCGACAATCCTGGCTCGGGGAAGATCACAGACCAAAAATCTGACAAGATGTAAGATACAGCGAGAGAGGAAGATAAGCAGGCAGGGAGGTGCACAGATGGCAGCATCCCAGTTCTGCACCGGCTTTGGGCCCAGATGTATCGGAGCACGCTCAGAAAAGCAAGGCAGCCTTCAGGGTAAACCCTGGGCTCACCTCCTGCTTCATCCTGCGGCGAATGCTTCCCCAGCCCCATCATGCATCATCAGGGCATGGATGCAGGAACCCACGCAACTAAAAAAGAAAAAATCCCTGTGATCTCTTCAATGCTAAAAACACGTATCGGTCATCGGTGCCTCTCAGGCTATTAAATCAGACTCAGTTCTTCTTAAGAAGTGGTTAAGAGTGTCACACTTAGAAAGGAAAATAAGCTGATGCAGTCTCTCTTTTCTAAACACAGAAACCAACCAAACATACATCTTAACTTTAAATTCCCCTCCTTTCCCCTGCCTTAAATCCACAGAGGCTCAACTATACCTTGTTGACTACTGAACTGCCAAATTCCAGGTTTTAAATTAAAGCTGGCTTTGAGCTAGAAGAGCTCAAAAAAGCCCTTGAGACCACAGAATGACCAGCTATTTTTTCCCTTTTTGTCATTTTATAATTTTATGACCTGATGCGTGGTGTAGTCAAGAAAGGAGCGATGTAAAAATGGCCCTTTTTGCCCAATATATCTGCTCCCTCTGGAGCTCTGAGTCACATTGCCTGATTTAATAGTAGTGAAAACTTGCTTTCAGCACTGCAAAGCTTGCAGAGCTAGGAAAAGAAAATTGGAGCCTATCCTGACTCCACTACCAGTGCCACAAAACAGCAGCAGAGCAAGTAACTTTCCGAATGTGCTGTGAATAGATTAAAAAATTGTCTCTTGTGATGAAGGGAGCACAGCAGCCGAGCCCACTTAAGCGGGAGAATTGCACGCTGCCTGCGTAACAGCTGGGCTTACTGCTTATACGTATGCCCTTGGCAAGCCCATCACATGGGAAAGTAACCCACCAAGCAGCTGTGATGCCCACCTTTAAAACTAGAGCTTGGAGGCGCCCAAGGAAAACCAGGACCGAAGCAGGTCCCAGCAACACGGACCAACAGATGGTTCCACCTGTGGGGCTGGCAGAGGGCTCTCAGGCCGAATTAGATGATAGCTCCTCTGGCAGTGCCATGCTTGCACTGGCCAGCCTCCCTCGGGGAGCTCAGGCTGCAGGACCGAGTCGTTCTTCCTTCCCTTAAAATCTGTAAGGCAACATTTTACACCCAGCCAAGTCTGGCACTCACACGGAATAGCGTGGGAACCCACAGCCACACTGCAACATGACTACAAGAACACACAATGGCCGCAAATGGCCAACTGCTGCTGGCACACGCTAGCCCAAAGGGCAAGTCCACCACCATTCTGGGCTGGAGCAATAGGGCTGCATGAGCACACAACCGTGCCTGAAGCCTGGCTGCCAGCCCTGGAGGGGCTCCCAACCCAGCTCTGGCTCCCTGCAGGCTCCCAGCACCATGGCCAGCATGGGGCCACCTTGGGTGCAGTGTGGCTTACCCACAAGCCAAGCACGTGAGATGCAGGCAGCAGCCTATGGATTCACACCGGCTAAGTTTCAGCAATGCTGGCTCATCTCCCCACACATGACATAAACTAAAAAATACAGCCACCTCTTTTCCTTGGGGTATAGTCATTTCTAGACACGTGAAAAGCAGCAATCCTATTGGAAATGAAGGGGGCAGCATAAGCAAATTAATCAAGTAACTTGGAATGGGCTGAAATGTTTGAGAGGAAAGAAAGTGCTCAATGAACAAAGGACTTCTAGCACTGAGATGCAGGGCAGAGTGGCTGGAAAGCAGACAAGACTTAGAAGGCAAATTTTTGTCAAAATTTCAGAGTTACCCTATAATCCCAGCACTCACAAGGCTGCCGTACAACACCTGCAACACGCAACCTTTCCACAGCAAACAGGCAAGCCTCTTTGCCGGCCTGGAAATGCACTTCACCGTGAATACACTGCTGTTCTCACAAGAAAATGCTGTTCTCACAAGAAAAAAAATAAAATAATTTTGTGCTGTTCTACTAAGGTTTTTCCAAAGAAAACCAAGAGAGGACTCTGCTGGAAACGCATATGTGCAATACTGTAAATCTTAGTGTATACAGAGATGGAATCTTTTAAATATTGCATTTCATGTGGCATAATTCTAAGCAAATACTGTGTAGCAAGCAACCTACAAGCATAAAATTCAGACTTAAATGCCTCGCCGCCCTGAATTCAATGTCCACGACTTCACACGGGGATCTGGACTCCACTCTGGATTCAAGAGGACTCCTGTAAGTCTCATTATGTGAGACTCCCTCTCCCATCCTCTTGCAGGTGTAACCTGTTACCCCAAGGAAGAGCATCCCACCTCACATCCCTCTTCTTGCTTTTGTACTCCAAAGCAAATAGAAACATTACAAGAAGTCATCCCAGCTTCCAGACAAAACAGGTGTTGCATGATTACCTGTGACACTAGACACCCTGGAAACATCCTGAGCCTGAGTGGAGCGGTTTCGACTCTGTTGCCTGCGCCTGCTCGTCGCTGACCTAGTGGTCCGTACGTGAACTTCACTTACTTTGAAGAAGGCCACCATGAAAGGCTGTTTGTCGTAAGGGCCATCTCGGCCTATAAGACCTGCTTCTCTAGGATTTACGCTGAAACCTTCAAATCAAACAGAAAAGCATTAGAGAAACAGTGCAGTTGGATTGCTCCTTCCAGCATCCCAGCATCCCCATAAGCATCATTTCCTTTCTCCTTGCTCACACTCTTCTTCTTTTAACGCTAAATGCTCCCTGCCTGCCACCATACCTTATTACGTAAATTTAGACTAGATATAAGGAAGAAAGTTTTCACAATGAGGTTGCCGAAACACTGTTGTTTCCCAGAGAGGTGGTAGACACCCCATCCCTGGAAACGTTCAAGGTTCAGGTTGGACAAGGCTCTGAGCAACCTGGTCTAGTTGAAGATGTCCATGTTCATGGCAGGGGGATTGGACTTGATGACCTTTAACGGTCCCTTCCAACCCAAATATTCTACGATATTTTTATGACAGCACCCCATCCATCCTGGACAAGAGGCTCCACCGCAGCACATGGCTCTTTGGTACCCCTTATGGCATCTCTACTCCGGTTTAGGCATTCGAGAGGTATACAGACAGATATATAAAGCACAAAGCCCAGATGTGTCATGAAATTAGTTCTACTGCCCAGGAAACACGAAGAGCAGAGATGGGACTAGGAGACCTCTAGGGAAAGCAGAGGGCAAAGAGATGGGGTGCTTTTGTCAGGAGCACAGGGACGGGCTCTCAGTCCATTTGAGGAGGTGGAGGCTGGCACTATCGTTTCCTCAGGGAGAACAGTGGACAGCCCCTCCGGTCTCACTTGACCCCAAAAGTGCACCAAAACCCTATCGCATGAAGTGATAGGAAGAAAACATAAGGTTGGAAGCTGGTGCCTATAAAGGAAAGTTGTCACTGTCATCTTTTTGTTCACCTGCTCATCTAGATCCTCTCCTTCCCCACCACTTATCTTCCAACACTCAATTTCATGCTTTTTTGCAATCTCTCCTTTTCTACCTTTTGAAATTTCTGTGGGCTGTGAAATGTTATCACTGCAGCTGCCCTCAGAGGGACTAGTCCCACACAGCGACTGCATCTCTTCTCCAGTGCAGGGGTCCCACCTCAGGTTTGATGAGATCTGAGCAGCCACAGCAGCCAGGAGGGCTGCCATAAGCCCACGTGGGGAGGCACATACCCTATACCTGCCCTCTTCTCGTCTCACCCCTAAACCTCACCACACCTGGGATCCTAGCTCCATGCCCCCTTCTACCTCCAACCCAGTAACTGAGACCCTACCACAGCCCACCTCCGCCAGCTCATCCTGGTACTGTTCAGAGACACCTGATCTCACTCATGGGAATAGACATGCCCATCATGGCACAGCCAAGAACTGACAGCCTTCAATCTGTGCCCTCAGATGCTTTGCTCATTGTGTTGGCTACAGCTGCCTACAAATGCAGGATGCTTACCCCCATATCACAACTGGACTCTGTTAGCACCATGTCTAGACAGCACCCAAGATGCTCACGAGGTGACTCGCATTACCTGGCCCATAACCTACCATCCCGGGTCACCACGCTCAGCTGCAGTCCCATGTTGTGCTGAGGGTTCATCACCCACATGTTACTGGTGGCAGTGACATCAAACTCCAGCCAGCCCTCCTCTGAGGCCCACACCACCCGTGTATCCAGCAGAAACAGGTCAGAGGCCCTGCAGAGGAGAAGCATAACAACAAGATTGTGATGTCTGGGATTTTCTCCCTTGGCTTTCGCTGTTACAGAAACAAAACCTGCTTCTGCATGTGAAACCCAGGATTACAAAGGTTTTTCACCATTTTCTATGCTGGAGGAAAGCAATCCTAAGCCTCAGATCTGTCTGCTTCTCCACTGGCAAGGGATTAGTAGAGCACTCTTCTCCCGGAAGAGTGTAACGCCAGCCCTGGCAGGACAGTGGTCAAACTACCAGCATCTCCAGGCACTCAATGGCTTTTGTCAAAGGGGTTTCATGGTTTCAGCCCACCTTCACAACACAGACCTACCTCAATTGACCAAAATAAAAAATAGAAATCACCTAACAAGCCAAGCATCAAACAGTGAAGGAAAATGAACCTCTAAAGGACGCTAAAGACATTTTTCTGTGACTTATCAACAGGGATTAGAGAGCCGTGTTCCAAGGCTTTTGGTACTGGGTCTCCTTCATGGGCTTCAGCTTCAAATGCTATCAAGTCTATACCTTTTTTCTAGCATCAAATGCCTACCAAAACTCAGTTCAATGAAATCAGCTGAAGAAGCACCCAAAGAAATCCTACGTACATTTTGTTACTGTTTATAGGCATAAGTTTCCTGTGCAAGCAAGCTACAACTCCTACCCTTAACCTGTAGCCATCATCACAAAATGGGTACCCAGTGTCAATCCCATCTTCATCTGTCTTTCCCCCCTGTATTTTTTTTTCTAACAATAACTTAACAGAAATGAGAAAACAGTGTACCTGTCCCTTCCACCCATCAAAGTTTAACTTCAGAAAAAAACATTTTGATTGAGTTACGTTTTATTTTTGGCCAACTGCTATGTCATATTGCCCAGCAGCTTGGTTTGCATGAGATCACACATGGAAAAATAAGCACTTAAATATATTAGGGCTCCTAGTGCAGCTATTTTTACAGTGTGGAGGCTTTCCTCCACCTCGCTGGTAGCCGCACGCTCTGTGGTTGACTCAGCAGCCTTTCCCACAGGAGTCTTTGCCACTGCTCCTCCAACGGGAAGAGGGTTCAGGAACAAGTCTGACCTTCACCTCTAACAGCAGCGAGTGGCTGGGGCTGGCCAGCTGCTACATGTTTTGGAAACCTTAAGGTTGAAAGATTTGGGCTTTCCCAGGCAGGGTATATAAACTGAAGTGCTGCTTAAAAGAGACTGCAAACAGCAGCTGCAGCTGAGACCACTCTTCCCCTCTCCAGGTTTAAGAAAGGAATGAACTCCTAAATCATTCCCACCTCATAATATGACTTCAACGTTGGTCCTCTCCAATGCTTGAAATGGACTATATCTGAAAAGGAGTTTTCCTAGCACCTGCTCTGACCTTCTGACCTCTGACCTCACACCAATTGCTTTTTAATCTCCTGTCCCACATCTCTTCCTCTAAGTGCCATACTTTCCCTGGCACTCGCCCACTCCAGACAATGTCCCACTGGAGCCTCCAGACCAGAGTAACTTTGGCATTACATCCACCCAAACCAAACATGTCTGGCTGCAGAGCCACTGGGGAGCTCTCTAAGAGCAAACCCTCACGAACACTCAACCACATGGGATTAGTCAGGTCTACAAAAACATCAACAGGAGGCTCAGAGCTCTTATTCCCATTGCCTTGCATTTTGGGAAGACACTTGGAAATCAGAGAGCTGTAAAGCCTGAAGAGACCACATGGCATCATCCAGCCCATTCCCCTGAACTCCAGGCAGGTTCAACTACATCCACATCACTTCTGAGAGATGCTTGTCTGACCTGATCTTACAGATTTCCAGAACTCCACCACCTTTCCAGGAAATTGAATGGGTTTCACTTGAAGCACTTTTTTCTTTTTTTTTTTTCCTCATAATATCTAACTTAAATGACACAATCTCCCCTTCTTCTTAAAACAACATCTTCAGTCTTTCCTTGCAAGGCATGTTTATATGGACTTTGACTATTCTCATTGCTCTTTATAGACCCAACTCAGATCAAGATCTCACTGATGCTGAGTAGAGTGGAAGGGTAATCTTGATGCATCTCACAGACTATGCCTCAGTCATACATGTCAGAATACTATTCTGGCTTCTTCACAAAACTCACACTGTTAACTCATGTTTACCTTGTGATCTACTATAATCCTTAGATTCATGCTGCTGAACCACAAAGGACCTAGTCACTTCCGAGGGTGTATTTACATCACTGATTTTTCATGCCCAAATGCAATACTTCTTTCTACCAAATCACACTTTTTTCCCCCCAAATTGAGCCTCCATCATTATTAGATTACTTAAAATATGGACTTGCCTTCCAGTGGGTCTCCCCCATCTTAGTGTCCTCCACAAATATAATAAGAAAACTGCCTGACCAAGGTACGGTTCTACCAAACAAGAATGCTCCACTTTATCCCTGTATGTCACACTCACTTAGGAAAGATTTGAATTCCTTTGTAAAATGCAGAAAAATGGACAACTGGTCTTTCCAACCCAGTTAACTCTTTGCAGAAAGGTTCATACAGGACTGGTTTTCAACCAGCTCTGCTATTCAACGAACTCTTGCATTGTTCAGCTGGATGAAGGCAACCTGGAAGGTTCACCCCACAGGTATTGTAGGTCGTAGCAGTAACGCTAGCAGGTAACACATCTGCTTAAGCCTGCTTTCAGTTAATGTTTGTCACCCAAACCACACCAGGCTGCACAAAATTGCATATAATTTCTTACTAGTTTTGGTTTTGATGTGAAGGTTTTTAAAAAAATATGCAGTCACCTATTTCCAAAGACAAAAGGGGGGGGGAGCCAGAATTTACTGACCTAAAAAAGAATCCCAACTATTTAACACAGAGTCTTTCAACCCGTCTTTCTTTTTTCAGAATAGAAATGGTGTATGCCCTTCCCCCTTTAAGAAAATCATGTCAAAATTGGCCAAGCAGTAACTACTTGAAAATTGCTGCCCACACAGGTTCAACAGATTCAGAGCTTACCAACTAAATCCTCTGGACTTTTTGTGTGCAGGGAATATACTTTCCCCTCCTTTCCCCCTTGGTAAACCAAACACCATGTAACACCTGAGGGGAATCCGCTCT